CACTGCCTCAAGTATCTGTACTTATCAGCTCATTTAACAACTGCTCACACATTTACAGCCACAGAAATAGGCTCGGATAACCAACATGGTCCCTGGCTGGTAAGTAACTGATAACCAGAAGGAGGGGAGCCTGGATTTGAAGCAGACATGAAACAGAAAGTAGCCCTGCTCTCTTCTGAGCTGACCATCCTGTTTCTGGAGTCTGTGTAGATTGTAAATCAGAGATGTCCCTAAGACCAGGTTATGACTAGACTTAGGGCAACACACCCCTAAGGATTAGTCAGAACTACAGAATTGCAGTATTTAAAGGCTAGGATGAGAATTGTTAGGCATATCCTGCATGAGGGACACACTGGTGAGGAATAATGGGTTAGTCTCAGGGGCATTGTTGGGCTTAGGTCATGAACTTGGAAGCCACACCTCCCCCACCTGTGTAATCCTTTCTGCCCACCTGTGAGTGACTCACCTACCATCATCTGGAACCTGAGGGGGCGTGGTGGTCATGCCTTGTGTAACACTCCCCTTGTAAGCAAAAGGCCCATGGTAGGGAGAGGCTCGGTCTCTTGGTCTCTTGGTCGTGTGCTTCTGTCACTCCAATTCTTGGTCTCCCCCAGTACTTGCTTGCATTCTTGCTTCCTATGGACAGACAGCGAGGACAGAGGTAGCCCCTGATTGTGGCTCCTGTATTTCTGTATTCACCGTCAGTAAAGATGCGAATACTAAGATGCTTTGTATTTCTAATTTATGTACCTTGAAGAGTTCCAGGAGAGGTGAGGCCTAGCAGTAATGAAATGTGGACAGAGAAGCCAGGAAAAGGTGAATGTTTGCAGCTTTATAAGTGTGTCCAGGTTGTTTGCTGCATGTGTTTTAGGATAATTTGTATTGCTGGGGAAGCTGGAACATAGATCTTCAGTTTTAACAGACTGATCTCAGAGTAAAGACCATTTGTTTCCTCTCAGCGTTTTGATTCAATCTGGATTGCCATGGTTGACTTCATTTGCTAATTTCCACTGGGCATTGCAGTTGCCAAGCTTGGTTAGTAAATTCTTCTTAATACATCTAGACTCGTCTGGTATGATCTCTCCCGCACCCTGCACCAGGTATCTCCACCCCAAAGCTCTGCTGGTCACAGCCCACGCTTCCCTTCCCATGGCTCTCCAACCATATTTCCACTTGGCATTGCCCCAGTGCTGGGAGCATCGTGCAGTGGCTCCAGCTCTTCTAATGGCGTCTCTGCCTGGGAGTGCTCTCTGCCCTCGTGAAGTTGAAAGCATCCTTTGGAGTTTCAGGGAGGGCCACCATCCCACCTCAGCTCTGAAGCTCTTTGTCCTGCCTGCCTCCTGAGCCTGCCTGTAGCTATTTGAGGCCACACACAGCTCTTAACAACTTTTCAAGGCAGACATCTCACACTGTGATCACTTACCTGGCTGTGGGCTCCACCTCAGCTTCACTCAGAGCTCTCCTTGGCACCATCCAATCAGGAGCTCTGTGTGACTGGCCTGCCAAGCTTTGATACCTTGATGATAGCTGGTTGCCAGGACCTCATCCTAAGTACTTGCATAATTAGCAAGGAGACCACTGCTGCAGGCCCTGGGTGCTTGCTTCAGGGTAGTCTTGGGCAGGCTCTTGGAAAATGCCGTGGGGACTCATAGCCCCAAAATGCCCTTCTAGGTCTCTGTCTAAAGTAGGAGTGTTAGGACTCAGATGTGTTGAAAAGCCTTCAGATCTTTGTCCCATTCTTGCCACCGAGAGCACAGCTCCCCTTGCCTTGCAAATCTGCCATCCTGCATCTGTCTGCTCTTTTCTTTGACCAGGCTGTGAATTTTCTTTTTAATTTTCAAGACTTTTTTTTCTATTTATTGGAAAGGTAGATCAAATTTACAGAGAGAAGGAAAGACAAAGATTGTCATGCTTCTGGTTCACTGCCCAAGTGGCCACAAGGACAAAGAGCTCAGCTGATCCAAAGCCAGGAGCCAGGAGCTTCTTCTGGGTCTCCATGCAGGTACAGAGTCCCATGGCTTTGGGCCATGCTTGGCTGCTTTCCTAGGTCACAAGCAGGGAGCTGAATGGGAAGTGGAACAGACGGGACTGGAACTGACGTCCATGTGGGATCCTGGGTGTGCAAGGTGAGGATTCAGCATTTGAGCATTGTGCTGGGCTCTCAAGTGGTATCTTAATTGCTGTGTCAAACACCTGCCCCTTCAAAGAATCTTGAAGAGATGCTTTATGGTCATCCTCTACTGTGTGAACCCAGGAAGAAATGTGCTATTAAGCATTACTTAAGTGTGCCACAAGGATGCATCACATTGAAAGAAATCATTTTGCTATTTTCTAGTAGGATAAGGCTGTCTTTGAGTCATTCTCCTTTGTTCAGAAGATTTGTATGAACTACAAATATGTTAAAGTTTGTTTTCAGATATCAAGTTTATTCCTTATAGATACACTATGGATAAACTAGGCAAAGTTTTTTTTTTTTAAAGATTTGTTTATTTTTATTGGAAAGTCAGATTTACAGAGAGAAAGATCTTCCAATCTGCCAATTCACTCCCCAATTGGCTGCAACAGCCAGAGCTGAGCCACTCCAAAGCCAGGAAACAGAAGCTGCTTCTGAGTCTCCCATGCAGGATCAGGGTGCCAAGGCTTTGTTCATCCTTTTCTGCTTTCCCAGGTTACAAGCAGGGAGCTGGAATGGAAATGGAGCAGCTGGAATACAAACTGGTACCCATATGGGATCCCATGGATGCAAGGCACGGGTTAAGCCTTTAGGCTATGGTGCTAGACCCTGACAACGTTACATTTAAATTTTTTTTTTGAAAAAAGATTTATTTATTTTTATTGGAAAGACAGATACTCAGAGAGGAAGATCTTTTGTCTGATGGTTCAGTCCCCAAGTGTCCGCAACAGCTGGAGCTGAGCCAATCTGAAGCCAGGAGCCTCCTCCGGGACTCCCACACGAGTGCAGGGTCCCAAGGCTTTGGGCTGTTCTCGATTGGTTTCTCAGGTCACAATCAGGAAGCTGGATAGGAAGCGGAGCTGCCAGGATTACAACTGGTGTCCATACAGGATCCTGGCGCATTCAAGGTGAGGATCCCAGCTGATAGGCTATCGTGCCAGGCACTACATTTTAAATTTAAAATACACGTAGTCTGACTTAAGGATGTTGGCAGCCACATACCCATACAACCGTTCTGTTTTAAGCTTTCAGTACAATATTAATTTACATGATATACTATGCTTGATTATAAAATAGGCCTTGTGGTGGATGACTGCCCAACCGTGGGCTGATGTAAGTCTTCTGAGTACATTATGTGGGTAAGCTATGAGCCTGGAGTTCACATACATTAAGCTATGTTTGATAGATATATTAACTGCCTCTAAAACTTGTAAATATTTTCTTAATGGGAAATATTAGACCTGCCATAAATGGGACAGGACCTGTGATGGGCTATTTTCCATTTTCTTTGCTCTGGAATATCAGTTCATAACATCTCTGGCAAAGTCTGACCATAAGGTTTATTAGACATCCAATTTTTACCACCAAGTAGTCTCATCAGTTTTTTCTTTATTTAAGCTTATCTACAATTTTATCCTGATATTTTTTGCCAGGATTTTTTTTTTCCGTCATAAGGGTGATGCTTTCAGGCCAAAAATCATCTTGAGGATCAGTGTAATCACTACATGCTGTAAGACAGGTACTGTTCCTTTAACACAAGAAATGACGTCCTAGATACTGGGTTCCTTGTATATAATATGCACCAGAAAAGCCAAGATTTCTTGGATGCCTTTTAATGTTCCTTATTGATTTCCTTTCACACCAAGATGCATTGCCATCATAAGGTGCTTCAGTGAGTAACTGAGCTACTTCAGAAAAGCAGAGAGCCCAAGCAGTAAGCCTACTGTGAAAAGAACGGGGAAAATGTCATCAGGAAGAAACAATATTTCTTTCCAACAAATGCATTTTTCTCAGTTCCCTGAGACTGATTCTGACATTCACTTGTTGTGCTCAGCAATGCGAAAATGTTGTGAGCTCTAGGAAATCATTTGCTGGGATGCATGCAGGAAACAAATGTGCCCGCTTCTGAATTTTTGCCAATAACCAAGGTAACAGTCATCTATTGCTGATCAGAGCCAAGAGCCAGACTGCATTCATGAAGCTTGGATATGAGCTCTGCATTCTTACTTATGGAAATAGGATTTGACTAAAAAAATATGTAACTTAAAAAGAGCCTTTGAATATTTTAATGGGTAAGCTATTTCACATCAAGTAATAATTTTAATGAGGTTTTTCCCTTTTTGTCCTTGCTGTAGGCTTCAAGATGAATTCATTGAAATAGAAATGCATAAATGTGCCCATAAATGTTGGAAATCTTATATTAAGACACAAAGGTGCCAAGAGAAGTTTTGTGCAGAATTCAGCCATCCTGCCATAAAAGAAAAGGTTCCCATGTGACAAAACTGCCCCACCTCCACATACACAATAAACTTGACCATGGGAATAGGGATACTGACTCCTGATGTGGCATTGGCAGCCTCTGAGCTGTCTAAGCTCCTCAGAGTTCATCATCGTCCAAGCTCATTCCTCCAAGGATTCTTGCCATCAGTAAGCTGTTCCTTGGGAGTAGGGACACTTGGTGCTGACTTAGGCTAAGAGTATATACGAGAAGTTCATTCTTGAGTGCTGACTGTGAATAGGTGTCCAGGATGTGAAGCACATGGCAAGACACTAGGCTTTACCAAAACCCCATCACGCTGATTATTCCTAAAGTCACCCTGGTCGTCTGACTCAGTGTGACCCTTTCAGGTGAGTCTTGTTATTGTGAGAAATCTTGGTCCATAATTTTTAGGAAACCCTTCTTTGACCTGTAAGACAGTCCCCCTTGTCCTGTGTCTGTTTCTAAACACAGGAACTTTCTTTGGGTCATGACTCCCCAACTTTCTCAGTATCATCCTTATCCTTTGCGGGAGCAGAATAAAAGAATGAGTGGGGACAAATCAAAGACTGAATTCTTTTACTTAGCCATAAGTATGGGAGGGTACAACATTTCTGTTTCAGTGGGTGAGGACTCCCAGCACATTGTCACAAGGAGCAGAAAAACATGTGCTCAATTGTACTGACAGCCCGTTAGGGAAAGCGTAATAGTGACACAATCACAACGGTCTTATTCCACCCACTAGAAGTATGTTTGAAAGTATACTTGAAATTTTTAATGCATTCAAATTCAGGGATTTAAAAATTTTCAAAAGCTTAGGAAGCTGATGGCTGTTTGTCTCCCTTCTGGCTCAGCCCATGCCTGGTTTTGCACTCCTCACAGGTAAGCAGGCAGTGCCTAGAAGAGAAGCAACAATAAGCAGTGAGTTGCACTGTGATCCTGCAAACTCTGGCCTTAACACATTGTCTAGATAATTTCTATGCTAGAGTTCACGAACTAGTTTTAAAACAAAATGATACTATAGCTTTTTAAAGATCTAGTTGACAGGCAACATGATGGGGGCTTCAAGGGTGAGGGTGGAGTGAGAGAGAGCTTCTGCCCACTAGTTAGCTTCCCAAATGGCAGAAACAGCTGAAACAAAGAACCCTGAGCTCCATGGGTCTCCCACTCCGGTAGCAGAGGCCCAAGCACTTGGACCATCGCTGTCCCAGGTGAGTTAGCAGGGAGCTAAATGGGATCCAGTGATATAGGATATTGATGCTGCAAGTGGCCATTTAATTTCCAGCCCACAATCCTAGCTCCTAACCTAATAGATAAAATGAATCATTTCTTGGTTTAAAATTCCCATGATTTTATCCAAAAAGAAGCCAAAAATGAAGTTGAAATAGATGGTTGTATTTGTGATAAGGGTCACACAGACACGGTTGAACATCTTAACTATTTTAAATAAAGAGCCATTGCTACCAATCGTATAAAAGACAAAAAGGGCCTGTGCTGTGTTCTAGCAAACTAATTGGCCTGCCTGCAGCACTGACATCCCATATGGGCACTGGGTTTGAGTTTAGGCTGCTGCACTTCTGATCCAGCTCCCTGCTTATGGTCTGGGTAAAGTGGCAGATGATGGCTCAAACACTTGGGCCCCTGCATCCAAATGGGAGACCTAGAAGAAGCTCCTGGCTCCTGCCTTTGGATTGGCTCAGGACTAGCCATTGTGGTCACTGGGGAGTGAACCAGCAGATGGAAGACCTCTATTGCTCTCTTCTAAAATTTGCCTTTCAAGTAAAAATAAACATATTTTTAAAGTCTCAATGTATCTAATGTGTATATCCAGGATTTAACTGTATGCCTGTGGAGTTAGACACACATACACATGTACATACACCTAATTTTTTAAATAAAAGCAAATGAACCTGGGCCTCTCCCTGAAGGAGAATCACCACATCTGAACATACTAAAGACTCTGAAAAACCCTGCAATCGGAAGCCTGTTGACATTTTGTATAATCTCAGGATGGCAGAAGCCAGTTTCTGAGCTGTTCTTCAGACTTGCACAATGCTTTGAGAACAGGAGGTGTTTCATTACATATTTATTAGGAGACGGGGGCTTCCTGCATAGTGCCCAAGACTCCACTTGGAAAAGGGCATCTCAGGTCTGAGTCTGTGCTGTACTTCTGATTCCAGCTTCCTGCTAGCGCCCTGAGAAACAAGAGGTGATGGCTCAAGAACTTGGGTATCTGCTGTTCATATGGGAAGCCTGGCCCAGCTCTTACGGATATTTGTGGAGTGAACCAGTTAGTCTCTTTGCCTTTCAAATAACAGAACAAAAATAACCGAGTTAATTTGTTAAAAAAATGAAATAGATAACTAAACATATCAAATAATTCTTGATTTAAATAGCTCAGAATCAGAGGGTTAAGAGGCTCCTTTTTCTATTTTTAAGATTTATTTTTGGGCCTGTTTGCGATGGCTTGATTGGCTAATCCTTCACTTCTAAGTGCTGGGATCCCATATGGTTGCCAGTTCCTTCCCATCCAGCTCACTGCTTGTGGCCTGGGAAAATAGACCAGGATGGCCCAAGGTTTTGGGATCTGGCACCCGCGTGGGAGACTCAGAAGAAGCTCCTGGCTCCTGGCCTTGGATTGGGTCAGATTCAACCTTTGAGACCATGTGGGAAGTGAACCAGCAGATGGAAGAGCTGTTTCTCTTTTCTGTAAATCTGCCTTTCCAATGAAAATATATATTTTTTAAGATGGGAAGATTTGCCTTTTTCATTGGAAAGGCAGATTTGTAGAGAAGAGAAAGAGACAGCAGGAACTTAATGTGAGTCTCCCATGTAGTGGCTCAGAACTCACTCCTTGGCCCATCACCTGATGCCTGCCAGAGAGCACACTAGCAGAAAGCTAGAAAGGAGAGTGAAGCTGGGATTCGAACTCAGACACTTTAACATGAGGAAGTAGGCATCGCACGTGGTGGCTTCATTGCTGCACCCAACAACGGCCCAATCTATGCACTTTAAAGGTATATTTTGTATTATAAGTGACTTTCATGCAATTTCTTGTCATTAGCTTCATTGAACTCTCCCAATTAAACAGATGACAACCAACCTGTTATGGTGTGGACCAAATCCAGCCCCACGGAGCTGATTTTCAAAGGAATGGAATTTACTCTGGCACACTCCAATGTAGGAGGCCTTACCCAGTCCAAATCCCAAGATACCAGCAACTGTAAAAGGAAGTTGAGACAGATAATTCAGAGGATCAGAATCTTCTCCACTATTCCTGTTCTAGAATTTTCCTTAGTAACACTAATAGTTTTTATGTTCAATGTGCCATGATAAATTAATGAAGTAAAACTCTGAGAAAAGAACAGGACTGGGCAGAGGACACTTTATGATGTCCTCACCTTTAAACCTACATGAAGCAGACTAAGACAGTGGAGTGAAGGTGCCATCCTGGGGGAGGCAGCCAGACTGTGGCCTGGATATCAAATGGTGGAGGAAGTTACTGGACGGAAAGGTGGGAGCTGGGTTGTGGCTAGGGGCAATTTCCAAAGCCCTGGGTAGAAAGACCCCTCCGTTTTCTTTATGGACATGGAATAGAAGGAGTTGCAGAACATCTTGCTTACAGGGTAGGGGTCAGGAGGAAGTGGTAGCAATCTTAAACCTGTTCCTTCTGCTGGGAATGAAGCTTCAGACTGTATACCACATCCAGTCTTTTGCACAAAAACAATACAGGTATATTTTCAAGTGAAAGAGAAGATCCCAAATATATAAACTTATTACTGGGAGGTCCTGGATGCATAAAAATTACCAATCTTGTATATCTTTCATAAAACACACTCTGAAAAGATTAGGGTAAAATAAAGAGGATTCCCTTAAGGATCCATTATCTGCAGGTAGGGCTACAGTGGGCCCTCTGTACCATGGGTTCCACACCCATGTATTCAATTGCCTGCAGACCAGAAATATTTTTTTAGAAATTTAGCATCTGTCCTGAGGATATACAAAGTTGCTTTCTTTCTTTTTTATTTTTTTTTCATTAGTCCATAAACTGTTTACATAGCATTTACACTGTCCTAGGTCTGGTAAGTAATCCAGATACTCGGAGAACACATGCAGTTATCCACACAGATAATGTGCCCTTTCATATAAAGGGAGCTGCGCATCTGTACATTTTGGTATCCTCGCGGGGTGGGGGGAGGTTCTGCAACAGATAACTTGCTGGTACTGAAGGATGACTGTCTCTGTCCTGCCAGGCCCTCCTAGTCCATGCTTTGAAGATGACTAAGTCTCTCCTGCTAAGTCTATCAGGGTTGAATGAATGGACAAAGGCAAAGTGGCAGGAAGCAGGGATGGTCAACACGGGCATTCTGGTTCAGCTGGATGTTCAGGTCCACAGTTGCTATCAACATTGTCTTCTTTCATAAGGAATCTGCCTTTTTTTTTTTTTGATAACTTACGTGCAACTTTAGGCAATGACCCAAATCTTGGGTTGGCTGCTAAATAACCTAAGGAGTAAGAGATAAAAACATTGTTATTTCATCCTATAAAGCTCAAATTTATGTAGAAAACTTCAAATCGTGAGATGAAAAATCCTTTAAATGTATATATTCTTCATCTGAATGGATGGCCTTCGAATAGTTTAATGCAGTTCTTCATTGAATGTAACTCAAATAGCTACTTTTGGCAGATTTCAAATATCAGCTTTAAGGTATAGAAAAGGAAACTGAAAAGACAATGGAAGACTGATTTACAGATATCACACAAAGGTGGGGCTAACAACTGAGTTCAAAGAAACTAGTCACCATCAAGTAGTACAGCTCAAGAAATTTCAACCGAAAAGACTGAGGGTATATACATCACGATTTTAAAATGAAAACATTACAACTGGGTTAGGTAGACTAATGACCTACTAAAGATGTACACACTACTTTTAGGGGAAACCTGAATAGGTTATATTACATTAAAAAGGGAATAAGATAAAAAATAAGGGGCAGGTGCAGTGTTAAGTTGCACCATTTTGGGTGTTCACATTCCATATTGGAGGGTTTGATTCAAGTCTTGGTTTCTCAGTATCTGATCCAACGCTCTGCTAATGTGAACCTGGAAGGCAGCAGATGATGGCTCAAGTGCATAAGAGACCCAGATGGACTTCCAGGCTTCTGACTCCGGCCTGGCTCAGCTCTGGTTTGCTGCATGCATTTGGGGAGTGAGTCAGAGAATACAAAATCTCTCTATTTTTTGGCCTGCCATTCAAATAAAATGAAAATAACAATGATAGAGAATGAGTTTGAATTCGCTGCTCAGATAATTGAAATAGCTCCCAGGTAGGTTCCTGAATATGGAAGAAGGGGTTGGAGACAGAACCAGAGAGATGGCAGTGTGGGAAGTAACTGGTTCAATGCTCCTGACTGTGAATCTAGGGGAGGGGGTTCCCAGCCAAAGTAAGTGTGTAGTCTGGAAGCTAGATAGGGTAAGGGAGCCAAATTATTAGGAGAAGGAGCAGAGTTGGGGTGACACCTGGAGTTGGCTTCAGGGAGATCCACAGCAGGCTTTTGGGCCCAAGAACTGTTAAGCTAATATATTCATGTTGTTTAAAGCCACTATGCTGTGCTAATCTGTTACATTCATATAGAGCTCTGACTTACCCAACCCTTGCACAGATATAAGTAATACTAAACTGAGTAATTTAATAATTCCTGTAAATGTCTTAGTTATGCATTTTTTTCTGTGTCTGAAATGTCTGAAAGAGGCTTGTTATTGACTGATAAATTGATTTGTATAAGGAAACTGTCTTTAAATTGCACAAATTCATAGTAAGCACATACTCTTTAGGAACAAAGACTAATATTGATGGGGACGGATTGTTCTAGATAAACTCGCGTGTAGTTGCTGAGATCTCACAGAGACCTAGGACGGCTTTTCTCGTGTTCTAGGGCACAAACATTCCTCTTTAATCCTACTCATCAAGCAGTGCTCAGTGAAGGGCTCTAAAAGGGGCTTAAATTTGCTCAGCTTCCTTCTTTCCTGGGGACTAAGCAATGCCAGGGAGGGGGGTGAGGGGTGTGTTCTTTGGCCAGTGGCGACAAAGAAAGAGAACGAAGAAGGAAGAACCAAAGGAGAGGTGAGCTCTAGGCGGCAGGAGAGGTCTGCGTAGGGAGATGTGCTGACCGTGCCCAGTGGTATCATGCCTCAGTCATTATCTCACCCTTTTTGATTGCATTTGGCCCCACCGAGATCACTCAGGCTAGTCTCCCTATTTTTCAAGCCAGCTGGTTATTGCATCTTTGACTCAAAAGTTCCTTTTGCCAGGTAACCTGATATATCCACTCATTCCAGCAATTTGGAGGTGGAGACACAGACTGAATGTAAACGCAAGCCTGCAGAAACAAAGTCTTCACCAAAAAAAAAAAAAAAAATCAGTGTCAAATGCCCATAAGGTGCCAGGAGACTCACAAACGACCAGGCTCTCTGAAGTGAAATGACAACACAGAACAAATCTTACCTTGGTGGACGAGTCCCTGAGTGACAAGCATGCTTACAAGAGAAAAAGGCAGAGCTGTAAAACAAAAATGCCTTTCAATGTTAGTAGCAGAAAACTTAAATGTCATCTAGAAGTCAGGGAGAATTACTCTGAACTTTTTGCCTTATTTCGTTAGCAGTAAGTGTGTATTTAAATTTTTTTTTTTTTTACTAATAACAATTAACTGCTACATGGGGAGTTTTCTTGAGATCTGCTTCTGTCATTCATTCATGCACAGCATTAATAAGATCTAAACCTGATTTCCATGCTGGTCAAACCCCTGGCATCCACATGGCCTGAATCCACACATGCACTAACACTGCTATACACAACATAGGTGTCATAATGTAAGTACACATAGCTGTTGAATTTGGGAACTGCCTTTGGCTGTTTATTTTGTCAATCCTACATAAGCATTACAAAGTAGTATAATGTACTCCTGAGTTCCCTTCATCTACATTCACTACTTGTGACTCTTTTTCAAACCGTTACTCTCTATTTAGCTATCTCCATTTTTTCTTTGGAGTCATTGGAAACTTGCATAAGTGATTCTTCACCATTAAATGTTTCAGTAGGTATTTTAAGAACTAGAACATTACTCTACATAATCAGAATACTATTAGCATATTTAAGATGTAAATATTCATATTCAAGAATTTTATTAATATGCAATCTGCACTCAAATCTCCTCAGTGGGCCCAAAGATCTTCATAGCTGTGCTTTTCCAATCCAAAAAAACACAAAGATCATGTCCTTTATTCCCTGTTCTAACTAGGAAAATTCCTTGCCCCTCTTTTAAATCTTTCATGATCTTTTTGTCTTATATTTGGATATCTGCCTAAAGGTCTCTCAGGGGTTTCCTGCCAGCAGACCCCTGCAACCACTAAGGGAGTGAGATGACAGTGTTTAGCAGCCGCATGAACCACCGGAGACAGTCTGATTGAGCATGTCCATTTATTGTAATCCAAGAATAAACTTATATAGACTAACAAAGGGGAAGGTGGTGGGAAGGAGGGGGCATCTCCCGACAGTCCTCCCACCCAACAACAGCAATGAAATTGGCTAGAAGGCACATTCATCTCTCTAGATCCTCCAATTATGTCACAACTCACGTTCAACATTCATGACTGGTAGGTAGGCTGTGGGTCACATACAGCAGGCAGGCTAGCAGGTAGGCTGTGGGTCACGTACACCATGTGTGCCAAACCTGCTTATCAAGGAAGTCCCAGCACAGCTTGCCCAAGGACAAAGGAGAGAGACTGGGGTGCAGCCCACCATTCTCACCTGTTTGACCAGTGAACAGGCCAGGTTGAGGTCTTGGTTGGCTGAAACTCTAGTCAGGGGCTCCCCCAGGGATGCAGTGTGCTGTGAGCCTATGACCTCCTACATAGGCAAAGCAGGCAGCGATCCAGGGGTGATTTCCCACAAAGATCCAAATGAAGATTTTAAGATGACTACACTCATGTTAAACATGTACAGTATTATGATTTTTAAATTTACAAATGTCAAGAAAATTTCTAGTTCTGTCAAAATGTGTCTGATGACTTCATTCAAAATATTGGATAACTAAGAATATTGATAAACACCTAGTTCTTCCTAGCAACCAAGACAAATCAAATAGCTGTTGATTGTTCCACTCATAGGCACCTACCTGATAAGTGTTCATCTACCAGGGCCCAATTAAATATTTACTCACAGGTTGCCAAGGAGTGCAACCAGTAATCACAGTAATGCATGTAGATATCAGCTTTTAAAGAGTATTACTTCCAAAATGACTCTGAATTTGAGTGCTTTATGAAATCAAAATGAATATTTCTATTATAAGTGATTCATGAGCAGCATTGAAAAACATTGGGTCTTTATCTTAGACTCTATTTTCTAATGATGAATCATTAATTCTTTAAATTGGAAGGGATTTAATGCATAGTCTGAACGCATACCCTTGTCCTTGGAAAGGTAGGCCCAGTGGGAGGAAGTAATTCAGCAGAAAAGGCAATTGCAGAGACAGGATATGAGAATTAATGGGATGCTGCCATGTTTCACACTTAACACACATGTACATATTTTTCATGAATATAAATTAAGCATTTTTATTTAGTTTTTCCACTTTGTATTATGACTATCATTTTATAATACAGTTCCTTAGGCCTTTTTTTTTTAATCACTGGGACATTGTGCAGGAGATAATGCGATGAAGTCTCACATGAGCCTGACATTATTCTCAGCTCTACGAAGTTTAGTCCAGTGGAATTTAAGAAGTTCCATTTTTTGATAGTCAAAAGATTCTAAATAATAGTCTTTCTGTCCATTTTCTTGGTCTTGTGAAGCAAAAGTATGTATTACTTTTTACTAAATGAAGTGCATGAAGTGCTCCTTAATCAGATATTATTTCTGCTCCACCCCTTCCCCCCAAAAAAGGTCTCAACATAGATTTATAGACTCTCAACATTCTGGAATATCAACGATGTCAGGAATTATGCAAAGTCCCTGCTGAGAAACAAATCTTCACCCCAGTCCTAATAGGATTTTGCTGCAACAGATTAGAGTTTACTAAGATCAAGAGGAGATACAGTTACCTCTCTTCCAGAAACTTTCCTCTTGACATTCTCGGATGATCTTTGCGATCTCTCCTTTGTGGATGTGCAATTTTGATTTTGGGCAAAACAGCATACTCTGTAAGGAAAGTTGCAGGGTGAATGCACCAGGCTTCTTGGGAAGCACTTGCTTTGTTTTCTCTGTGGGTGAACACAGAGGTCTCTTTGCCTGTTACACAGCATGGGCGCCACACTAGGGTACCTGGGCAGTTGAAGAGTCAGTGAGTGAGTGAGTCAGTAAGAGGAACCTGGGGAGCAACAGTGTGGTCAAGCTGCTACAGCCAACACCACATGGTCTGTCCTGCAATGTGCCATGCCTAAAATGCTACTCATTTCCTTGACCCACCTGATCCTGAGACCCAGCCCAGGGGCCAGAATTATGGCACAAGGGATTAAGGTAATAGCTTGCAATATGGTATCCCATTATTAAACTATCAGTTGGAGTCCCAGCTGCTATGCTTTTGATCCAGCTTCCTGTTAACGCACCTGGGAGAGCAGTGGAAGATGGTCAAAGTAGTTGTGTCCCTGCATACACATGAGACCTGGATATAGTTTCTGGCTTTTGACTTTGTCCTGGACCAGCCCTGGCGTTGTGGGCATTTGGAAGTGGACCAGTATATGGAAGACCTCTGTGAAAAATCAGAGAGAGAGAGAGATCTTCCATCTGCTGGTTCACCTCCTAAATGGTCACATCAGTTGGAGCTGAGATAATCCAAAGCCAGGATCCAGGAGCTTCCTCTAGGTCTCCCATTTGGGTACAGAGGCCCAAATACTTGAGTCCTCATCCTCTGCTCTCCCAGGCCATAAGCAGGGAGCTGGATCAGAAGTGGGGCATCTGGGACATGAACTGGTGCCCATATGGGATGATGGCACATAGGGAGGGCAAAGGATGATTAGCCTGTAGCACCACTGTACAGCCCATGTTTTTAACTTTAACAACAACAACAACAACAAAAAGATTCCTCATTGTTAAAAAATCATTCTCATATTCCTTTGTTTGGGAATAATTGAGATTATCAGGTGTTTCCCAGGGCTTTAATGCTTTTTCATTGAGGTGCAGCCCTCAGGTTTTTCAATTGTACATTGCCTCTGTTCTCTTAGACTGTACAGACATTGATGTGCATGCTGGTCATCATTTCTTGAGCACCCTCACATGGGCCATGCACCGTGCCAACCATTTGCCATGCATGACATCATATTACCAGGGTAGAGCATTCCTGCAGTGCCCAGGAATTCAGAACACAAGCAACCTCTCTCTTTTCTCTACAACTGCCCATGGCCCTGGCTCAGGAAGTAGTGAGCAGGTGAATCCCAACAACAGGGGAAGTGACTGTTCTTGCTCTCCACTCACCTCCATTCCTCAGCACAGCCACACCTTGGCAAGCATCCTCCTTATGCCCAGCATAATACAGAAGGGCCTGACTTAAAATGGTTCAACCTAGGACTTTCAAACTTTATGAATGTGCCAAGTGCGTATGCATGCAGTGGTCACTGCTCCTGAGATCCTGAACTACAGTCCGGGCCAGGCTGGTGAGATGCAGTGCTATGATCTTTGGAGAGGCTGCACGGCTGCAGCTCCCACTCAGCTATGTGATTCTGGGAGGAGGCAGCTAAGACTGTGCAGTGTGCTATGTAGCTAAGCCATGGTGTCAGGAGCAGAGGGTGTAGTCGGCGCATTCTCAATTCTCATGAGCAGTTCCACTTCAGATGTGCTTCTTAGGACACGGCCCCATTGTAAATTCAGGAATATCTGTCCTTGCTCCTGGCTGTGACTGCAGCAGCAAAAGGGGACACCTCCCCCAGATCGACCCATGTGTACACCCCCCGGCTACCACAGCTGCAGTGAGTCCCAAAGCTCTCCTGATGAAAGGAGCTCGGCCGGCCTTCTAGGCAGCCATCAATGATGCATGACTCTCTGTTTCCCCGAGGCCACTTGGGTGTCCACGTTCTTCTCCTGTGACTTATCATGTGTCTGTCTGCCTCTCTAAACTCTGCTCTTAAAACAGCATCTCTTCCATGATAAATAATGTTTAGCCGGAAAAGCTGACCTCACAGAACACGAACTCCATTTATTTACCCACCAAATAGTTTTTCTTGTCTTCACTGTGCATTCCCAAAACAAAAACATCCATTCCTAACAAGGAGAAAGGACACTCGGGCAAATACTCAGGTTCTCAACCTGAAAGCTATTCTGTACTTAAGGATTTGTACAGCCCGAAGAGCATCTGTCAGCAGCAAATGTGGGGTATGAGTCCTCTTCCAAACACAGGAGTAAAAATGAGCAAAACGGATCATTTGTTGGAGTCGGCTGAGAGTATTGTCTGCTACAGTAAATTACTTCGGTCACTGACAGCCTCTGTAAGGGTTAGTTAAGCAGGAATGAGTCAAGAAAGGCTTTTAGATAAAATTTTAAAAAGTTGCTTTTCAAGGCAACTAAAAACCCACTTTTCTTCCTCATTCCATTTTTCTCTGAACCCACTGGACAGAAGGTCAGAGGACTGGACAGGGATGCCCCTGAACAAAAGTTCTGCACGATTTTTCAAACTGCAGCTCCTCCCCTGTCCCCAAATTAAAAACGTACCTTCTTGTTCAGTGGTGGCCAACCAGGGCTTTTCTCCTGGCTTTCCTGAGTGGACACGGAGGCCATGACGACTGGGTCCTGGCTGCTCTTCCAGCTCAGTGTTCCCTTGGTACACTGCTTCACTCAATGTCTGGGGAAAATAGAAGGAAATCACTGTATTATGATTGAATGTTTATATCAAGTTTAAAATCACTCTTAGCATCAGCTGCATTTATTTTTACTAGTCTCTGCCTGAGATCGGGTATAAATTCAGTGTCTAATGTTCCTGCCTTGATTTTACCCACATGTGTTAACTCACCGATGGGAACAGACCAAAGTGAGTGCAGATGAAATGTCACACTGAACATGTGCAATATTGTCTACCTATAAACTATCCTTTAAGGAAGTCTCACCTCCATTCCTCAGCACAGCTGTGCCTTGGCAAGCATCCTCCTTATGCCTGGCGTAGTAGAAGGTGACTTCAAAAAGTTCATGGAAAATGGAACTAAACGTTTGTTTTGGTGCAAAAAATTTTTGAAATCCTCACAATTTTCTCATACTGTACATTTTCCATGAACTTCACATTTTTAATTAAAAAGTTTTTATTAAAGATTTATTTATTTTTACTGGAAAGTTAGATTTCTGAGAGAAAGATCTTCTGTCTGCTGGGTCATTCCTCAAATAGCCACAATGGCAGGAGCTGAGCCAGTCCAAAGCCATGAGTCAGGAGCTCCTTCTGGGTCTCCTATGCAGGTGCAGGCTCCCAAGGCTTTGCGCCATCCTCCACTACTTTCCCAGGCCACAGGCAGGGAGCTGGATGGGAAGTGGAGCAGCCAAGACATGAACTGGCACCCTTATGGCCACTTACTGGGACAAAATTAGACACTGAGTCATCATGCCATGTTCCATGAGCTTTTTCTTCAAAAGAAAACATTTTTTTTGAGGGGCAAAGAGGGAGAATGAAAGAGTCTACTTCTAGCACTTGATTTTATCCCCCAATGTCTAAGACATCCAGAGCTGGGCCAAGACTGAAGCCAGGAATTGGGAACTCCATCTAGGTTTTCTATGATGGGGCAAGAATCCAACTCATCGAGTTATCGCTGCTGCCACCCATGAAGTGCAGGAACAGGCAGCTGATGCCAGAAGCCAGAACTGGGTTTGGAACCCAGACACTTCAATATAGGACGTGGACTTCTTCACTGTGTTCTAAGCACCAGTCCAAATGCCTGCCTGTCCTTGAACTCTCTGGAGACTCCTTTGGTCCTGACTGAATATCTACTGTGTACCAGACCTCAGGATACAAAGAAGGGTAAGACAAAAATCACTGTTGAAGGAGGAGCAGTCTAAACGGGAAGACAGCTAAGTCAACAGTGAGCCAACACAAAAAGGACTACAAAGGTACATACAGGGGCTAAGGAAGGAGAGGAAGAAAGGTCCATCCAGTCAAGACACCAAAGAGATGAAGATGCACGCTTTCAGGGGAATCTGTAGAGGGTGGACAGGTACCATGGCCAAGAGGGTTGACATGGAAGACAATGCAATAGCAGGAACAAGCAGTTACAGAGAACTGGATCACGACTCTGGGGCGAAGGACAGAGTTGATAAATTTGGGTTTGGAAAGCATTGATTTGGGTGTGTATGGAAACAGTGAAATTAGTAGTGACTTAGGCTTTCAGGAGAGCTGAAATTGGGAGCTGCCCCCATAGAGATGAGAGTGAAAGCCAGGTACCTGAGCACATCAGTCCAAAAGAGTACTGCAGAATGTGAACACTGAGCCCAAAGGAGTTTCAATGGGAAGGGGCGAGGGGGGACAGGGCAAAGGGAGCAGTGGGAGAAGGACTGATGCAGAGGTAAGGGAGGCTGAGGAGGAGGTGAATCATCAACAATGTCACAGGCCTCTGAAAGTGGACTCTGGATTTGGCAGAGTTGGACAGAGTCCAAGTGGACCATGAACCTGGACTCTCCCCTCCAACTCCCGCTGCATTCCTTCACTGCTCTTCCCCACTGTATTCTCCACAAAGGGAGCATCTTCTTACACAGAGCCTATTCTTACGGTAACGATCACCACCCCCACACACACTTGCACCTGTTTCACCTGCAGGTGTCTAATGTGCAGGAGCAGCACTAAGCTCCACCGTGTTCAGTCTTGAGATTTCTGCTGAAACATGGGCTCTACTGCCTGCTAGTCCTGTATCTCCAGGCAAGCGACTTCATGGGCTGTGCCTCAGCTTTTTCACCTGTTAAGTTGAAGCAGTGGGCACAACCATGCTGAATGACTGTTGCAAGGATGAGCAAGGAGACCCCCCAAAGCTCAGGGCCACAGGTAACGTGTGGGGGTAGTGAGGGGCAGCTGTCAGGGGCCTGATTTCCCGGGTATCCCCCCAGCAGGCCTTTGTTGACCTACAGGTGCTGCTGACCCAAGAATAAAAACAAGATTAATTTTGCTTAGGCAGGCAAATCGGAAGGCAACGACACTCCAACTCTCCCGCTTTCGTGACTAGGTCCCTTTGCACCCCAGAAATCCCCGGTCCACTCCAGGCCAGCCAAGGGCAGCTCTTAACTTCCATAAGTGGGTCTGGTCGGCTTCCTGCTTGGCGCAGGAAGTAGACAGAGACACTGATAACGGGCACTGGGCAGAGGCGACAGGCACACTGTAAGGGGCCACTGCACCTTCTGACCACGGAAAATCTGCCAAACTTCGTCCCCAACTCCCCCACTCCCCAGTACAATCTCAAACCTCCCACCTGCGCCGGGGACCGCCCGGGTCAATCCCGTGAGAGCCGGAGTCAGGCCACAAGGGCAAGAAGGGCCAAGCCCCTGGCTGCCGCCTCCATCACCATGGATCTGGAAAGGAAGGCGAGCAGAGGAGGCCATCTCCACTCTCCATCCCTTCCACCTCACTGCCGCCGCCTCCCGCCATCACCTCCGAGGCTACATCCCCGGCGCCGGCTCTGCGGCCTTGGCCCGCACTCTCCCCGCTTGGCTGCCCCTCAGCGCCCCGCGAAGCCCCAGGACCCGGGTGCGCACGACCCGGCCCCCACCTGCCTTCCCAAGCGCGTCGCCTCGCAGCCTTCCTCCAGGACGGCGCGGTCACCGCCTCGCTGAAGGCAGCGCGCAAGTGCATTCCCTCCCCCACGGCAGGCCCCTCGTTGATTGGTGGCTGAGACAAGCCCTTGCTAGAACCGCCCCCTGATCCCGCGGCCTCGTCCTGACACGCCCGGTTTGTCTGGCACGCTAAGCTCTTCCACCCTACACCACTCCACCCTTGACCTCCCTCCTTGGGCCGGGCTCTTACTTCCGCTCACCTGTAGCCCGCATCCCTGCCCTGTGGGGTGAGTGTTAGCTGTCTCACTGTTTGGGTTGGCTCCCACAGGGCCAGCTAGCTCCCTGGCATTCTCCTTGAATCCCCGCCTTTTGGGCACTGTCAACCTCGGGCTCTTGACCTTCCTGCCTGCACTCCCTAGGCTGAGCCGAGAGTCTCTTGGAGTGAGTGCAGCTGGAGGGAAAGAGGTTACCACAGGACCTCACCTTTCCGCTTCTTACCCTACCGGGTCTCCGTGCCCTGGGGCGGCCGCTGCACACTGCTCAGCTCTTTCTCCTCGCCTCTTCTATTCCAGGAGCCCTGCTTCTGCCTCGGAATCCTCTCTCCAACGGCTCCATCCTGGCTTCTTCCTCCTTGTGCTTCTGGGCTGTCTGCCAGGAAGACCTTCCTCACTGCTTTCCTGTCGGAGTCCCTGGACTAAGAGGGACTGCTGAGACCCAAGACTTGAAGTAAGAGTGCAAGTTGGTGAGGGCAATTTCCATGCAGAACTCCAGAGCAGGAGGCATGGGTGGCCTGGGCAGAGCTGTAAGGTTTGTTCTACACAGAATGGCAAAAAGGGTACCATTTTAAGACACTGACCAATTATTTCACGTGGTTCTAAGTTAATGGGGACCTGAGGCAGGAGGTTGTGGCATAACGTTCTCGTGTTATTCTTCAGAATTTGGCCCTGTGAGGGTCCTGCTGCGTTGTCCCAACATTAAAAAAAAAAAAAAAAACAAAAAAACTAGTGATAAGGCTCAAAGTTTCCAGCTGGAGAAGTAGCACTAATGAGAGTGGCAGGTGGTTTCAATGTATTATGATGTGCTGTCGTGCATTGCCCAACTTTACTTAAACGGGCTTCTCTTCCTTTTCCTAGCACTAGTCACCATTGCATAATAGTTATCAAACAAGTTGTTAAGTGTATTTATTGGTGAGTGTTTCTTTAAGCCTCCTCTGATGATGTAAGCTTTGGAAAGTGCACAACAAGTTGGCGTCTCTTTGGGCCACCCTGGGGTACCTGTCATCTCTGATCCAGGAGGGACTTGAGGGAAACAATACGTGAGTGTGGAGACTGCTGTTTTGGAGGCTGTTGTGTTGCCCAGGAGACTCCCAAACTGCAGCCCCGGTGACTCAGTTTCTCTTTCTCGGCATGTTTTTTTTTCCTTTCTCACTCTCTTTTCCCTCAGCAACTGACAGAAGGGGTTGTTTATCGCTAATGTTACATCGTGTCACCAGAAGTCAGCTCTAAGCCTTTGTCATTTTCTGATCTGAAGAGGAACAGCCTTCTCGTTGGCTTGGTAATGTCAGCCCTACAGGACACCAAAGTCTGACTGTTAACAAACATGCTAAGGAGGGTTTGTCCTCCAATACCTTGCTGTGCTACTCTGTGTTCCTGCCCCACCCCGTTTCTGTTGTCCCAACAGAATGTTCCAGGTAATTATACTACATGGCAGGAGTTACCAGGACTTGGTATCTGTTGGGCAAATTTAATGTTCCAAGTATTGTCCTAAAACACTTTCAAAAATGGAAGAAAATTGATGTGGGTCTTTCGCATTTCCCAAAGAATTGGGACAGAGACATGGCACTAGAAGCCTTTCCTGGGTGTCAGTCTGCCAGAAGTTGGCTAATGCAAGGGAAAAGGTGGAACAAGCACCAATCTTCATGGCAGCCTCCAGCTTGAATTCTTCCCACAAGCCCCATGTTGTCCTCAGGGAAAGTCCAAGCTCCTTAACAGGGCCCTGTATGACCTGGGAAAGCAGTAATGGAGGATGGCCCAAAGCTTTGGGACCCTGCACCTGCATGGGAGACCCAGAAGAAGCTCCTGGCTCCTGGCTTTGGATTGGCTCAGCTCTCGCCATGGTGACTACTTGGGGAGTGAAACATTGAACAGAAAATCTCTCTGTCTCTTCTTCTCTTTGTAAATCTACCTTTCCAATGAAAATAAATACATCTTAAAAAGCAAAAATGTAGGTGGGAATCTAGGCACCAGTATCTGAGCTTGGAGCTCACCCATAAGTAGCTGTTTTTGGTCCCCTACGAGGGGCCTTGGCTGATCTTGTACCCTCAGGGAAGGTTTCAGGGGGTACGTGTTTGGAGGGTATGGGCTGCATGTTGGCTGTGCACTGAGCTACAAGAGCAGCAGACACCCTCCTGCCAGTTTTTCTTGTCCCAGTTGTCCATTTGCCATCTGCCTAGCTCTCTGACAGGCGCTGTGAATCACAGGATCTCGTGAGTCACTCATTTCCTCCCTGAGGAATAAATAACGCCAAGTTTGCAAAAGCCACGCAGTTGGGCTTGAATGAGGAGTTATGGGGAGATTGAGCAGCAGCTCTATGTTCCCTGATGGGTTGGCTCTGCCGTCAGACCAGGCATGCTGCCAGCTCTCAGCTTGAGTGTTTGGGCCATCCTCCCTAAGTTCTAGCTGCTTGACTTGCATCTGGAGTTTGTGTTTGGCCAGCCAGACTCAGCGAGCGGCCTGGTGGGGTCCTGAAGATAATCATTTTGGCCCAGACAAGGGAATGTCTGAAACACTGATTGGCTTGTGTCTTCAGTCTTAGAGATAGGCCTGTCCTTTTTTTCACTCACAAGTGTTAATAGATGTTCTGAAAGTAAATTTACTGTTTTAATATCCCAGAATTGCTTTCTGTGTACAAAGCCGTCAAATCACTCACACACGTGCGTGCGCACACACACACACAGAGAAAATCAGAATGCTGCTGATATAACAGCATTGTGTGGCGGATCTCATCTCTTTCTCATCTCTTTCCTGAGCCTCCTCTTTATCTGACTAGGGTGCCCCAAGGGAGGATGTACATTCAGCATCCCGGAACCTCCTGTTCTGGGGCTGGGGTTAAGCCCCTGCCCTCAAGGAACTATGTGACTTTGGACACTGGACATCTAAACAGCAATCAGAAGGGATCATAGGGCCTTTTAGAGTGTTCTAGACTGTGCCAGATGCCCGCCCTTCATCCTAGGGAGGTTACCACTCCTCTGCACTCCGACCAGAGTGTTAAGACTGAATTGCCTGATTCTTCACAACAAGAGCAAGCTGTGCATCCTGGCATGGCGTAATTCCATTTTGGAAGTTTATTCATTGAAGACTAATTGGTAGACAGGTGGGAAGACATACAAAGGAGTTTTCTAGAGTCCCTGTGCTACCACAGTTAGCTCTTTGTCTGACTCACTTGGTTCTAAGGAAGTGCGCTGTCCTCTGAGATGCCCACCTGTGAAGGGGTCCAGGCCTTGGCTGGCCTGGCTCCAGGTGCTTCACCTGCAGCTCCTAAGGACCCTTCCCACGGGGATCCTCAGTCTGCTGCCTCATGCTGAGACAGGTTCACACTTCTCCTGCAGCCCTCATGGAAGAGATCCCTGGAGTTTAGGGATAGGGGAACAGGGGGTATGTGTCCAGCAGCCAGACCACCTGGGCTCCTGTTCTAGCCCCAATCTTCCTCTCCCCTTTGAGATCACTGCTTGGAAGAATGCCTGACCCATAGGTAGGGAGAGTTGTGGGGGTGTTCACAGCCTCTTTCTCCAGGGCAGCTCCCCTTCCTAGGCCTCTTGGAGGGAGTCCCTCTTCTGTGCTGAATTCCAGTGACCCCCTTGTTTGCCTGTGGTCCAGGCTGAGGGCTGGGCACCCACAGGGAGATAGTCATTTCTGCATTGCACTCTCTCCCCTTCACATTCTGAGAATATTGCCAAGGACTTTGTCACGGTAGGAGTAAATAAAGAGGTTGGAACTAAAGTATTTGGCACTTGAAATAGCTCCCCTATGCAGAAATAGCTCCCCTATGTAGAAAAGAAGCCCCAACTGAGAGGAGAAGTGGGCTGACCATGAAGGAAGATTTTTTTTTAAAGATTTATTTATTTATTTTTGTTCCAAAGTCAGATATACAGAGAGGAGGAGAGACAGAGAGGAAGATCTTCCGACCGATAATTCACTCCCCAAGTGAGCGCAAGGGCCAATGCCATGCCAATCCGAAGCCAGGATCCAGGAACTTCTTCCGGGTCTCCTGCACAGGTGCAGGGTCCCAAAGCTTTGGGCCATCCTCAACTGCTTTCCCAGGCCACAAGCAGGGAGCTAGATGGGAAGTGGAGCTGCCGGGCTAGAACCGGCACCCATATGGGATCCCGGTGTGTTCAAGGCGAGGACTTTAGCCACTAAGCCATGCCGCCGGGCTCGAAGGAAGGTTTTTAAACTGCTGCTGCTGTTTGTAAGATCTATTTGAAAGTAAGTGCTACAGATAGAGGAGAAAGGTCTTCCATCCACTGGTTTACTCCCAGAATGGCCACAATGCTCAAAGCTGGGGCAGGCAGCAGCCACAAACCAGGAACTCCACTTAGGTCTCCCACATGAGTGGCATGGGCCCTCAAGAACTTGGATCATCTTCTACTGCCTTCCCAGGGTCATTAATATGTAGCTGGATTGGAAGTGGAGCATCCTGGACATGGACCAATGACCAAATGGCATGCTGGTGTTGCAGGCAGTGGCTTATCTTACTATACCATAACACTGGCCTGAAGGGAAGGTTTTGAAAGCTTTTTGAAAGACTGGGAAGGGAACACAGGTGTGAAACTCTTGGAATAGTGGAGATTAGGACCCTAGTCCCTTCCATTGCACAGACCTCATGTTAAAAAAAAAAAAGTACCCAAGGAGAGGATATGCTGCTAGCTTTTCAAAGACCTGAACCTTAAAGGACTGACCACTGCTTCCCAGGGACCTTGTGGCTTTACCGCTGAATATCTGAACAGTGACCAGAAGGGATTCTAGATGATACCAGATCCCTTCAGATCCTAGGGAGAAGGTTACTTCCCCAGCACGCCAATCAGAGTGTTGAGATAGAATTTCCTG